CCAAAGGCAGGGAAGGCAAGCATCATGGAGTTATAAGCTCCTGGACTACTACATGGCACACTGAGAAGTTTCCAGAAAAAGCCAAGAGCATAGCTATAGTACTTTGTCTTTCACTCTCCACCACATTTTAACTAAGTAAGGGCAAACTGGTCAAACTTCCACAGCCATTCTCAAACCAACTCCAGCTTTCCTTCAGAACAGGCAGGAGATCGAACTGTTGGGTTAGCTTGTTTTGTGAGGTTTCTTGTATGTTTGGAGTCAGGGGATTGCTCTGTTGCTCTGTAACTGGATAGTTCCCTGCCTCACCCACCCCAGGTTTGTGACACAGTCCCTGGCTAACATTTTTTTTTTAAGTTCAGTGTGGCTCTGAAGATTGCTTAACCTTGGGGCCCTGTAACTCTCAGGAGGAAGTCAAGATTTGTATTAAAGACGATAATAGAGAATATGGAATGACCAAATGCCAAGTTGAATGATGGCAGCAATATAGTCTTAAACAGTTTGGGAAAGAGAAATTCACTGTGGATTTTTTAGTGGGTTATTTTTCAGCAGCATTAACAAACATAAAGAAACTTGATCGGATCTTCAAAGGTAGACGGGACACCACACTAAGAGTGGGGATTCCAGGCCTTCAGTGGGGAATGGATAAAGAGGTAAATGGTTTATCTGGGGCAGGGGCTAAGCTAGCCAACACGTCTCCACAAAGCCCGGTGCCAAAAGTGGCAAAAAGTCTACCAAGAAGACAAGCCAGGAGAGTCTGGAGTGAGCAGCAGAAAGACACTTAACACAATTGGATTTCCCTTCTGTCAGTGCTAAGTGTTCCCTATAGAAGCTGAAAGCTAATGTCTACCAACCAGATCATCTTGTGTGGCAACTGAAAAAAGAAAGCATTTTCAAATTTAGAGTCTGTGTAGCAACTGTCTCCTGCCTGTCCATCTTGTAGTTTTACCGAGCAGCAATAGCTATTAGTTTGCTGGGCACCGTTCTGAATTATAACAACGTTTTAAGATGGGCTATGTTGTCCCCGAAGAGGCAGGTTAGCACAATAACTTCTGAGGGAGGCAGATGGAAGTGTGAATCCCAGCTCAGCTAATGACCTCCTGGGAACCTTGAGGAAGAAACCAAATTTTGAGTCTCCATTCCCTGGACAGCTGTTCAGAATTTTGGACTCCAGATGAGATGGGACACTAGATAAAATATGGGTGGGAGTGTACCTGTCACGTGGCAGCTACTCAGTACATAGGGACTACTGTTACTCTTACCTTTTCCCCCTCTCATTTTTACTAGCTCTTTGAGTACGTCATGAAATGATCATACTCACCCCTCCCTCAACCCCGCCACACCCACACTCCATTCCCTATCCACCCTCCTTCTCACGTCCTTTTCTCTATTGTGATAGTTTTTGTCTTTATTTTTTTTTTAATCCATCAGCTACAACTTGTACTACGCATATACCGTTGGGTGTTGGACCTTCTACAGGAGTCTGGTTAACCTCCCAGGGCCCACATCCTTAAGGAAACTGTCAGCTGCCAAGAGCACCCCAGCGAGGGGAGAGACTTCTTGCCCACCTCCTCTGTCCACACTGGGATTTTGTCTGCCTTGAGCTTGAGTGTAGAGTCTGTGTGCACGCTGTCATCTGTGCAACTGACCCGCTCTTGTCCAGAAATCACTGTTTCCTTGTGGTCACCCACTGTCTCCAGACAGTCAATCATGTCACCTCCTCTTCTGCCATCATCTCTGCCCCTTGGAAATAGAGGATGTGACACAGCTGCCCACTTCATGGCTGAACATTCATCCCACAGCCTGTACGCCCCGCATCCTGACCAGGTATGGGTCTCTGCGTTAGTTTCCATCTTACCAAATTCTATGATACCTTGGAGTTCCCTCTTAGCTGTGTGCATCACAGGTGGGGCATGGCATCACAATCTTTAGTTACCTGTACTTTATTTTCTGTTGCTTTCCTTTTTTAAAAAAAATCCCAGTATATCCAAATTATTCCTGAAGTTCAGCCTTAAACTGCAGAGCCTACATGTTATCCAATGATGCCAAAGAGGTAAAATAGACCAAAGCCAGATGATACAAATACAAGATGGGGATGTGGAACCTATGAAACTCGAGGCTTGCCAAATCTAGAGACTACAAAATAAGCTAATCATTTAGCAGAACAACTGGCTGGACGGGTGGAATTATCAATTTAGTAACAGATTGTATTTGAATCCTGTCACCACTTCATATGGGATGGCCAGAAAATTCTAAGAGGTCAAATAAGTCAAGTCAGGAATAGAAACTGTTTAAAAGCCCATGCCTGGGGACATCATAGGCTCTGGGATAGAACATGCTAAATGGCCACACTATCAAATTGCCTTCTAAATGTTTATGCTTGTACGCACGGTCTTGAGCTGCTCTGTCTGTGGTCAGACAAGCTTCCTTTTGCAGTGAGCAGCAGTCAAAGGTGAGATGCATAATTGGTCAAGACGCTGAGAGTAACAGGCCTAGGGCTCCACCATAAATGTGACGTCTATATTAACCCCACCAGGACCAAGGCTCAGAGAATATCATGGGAGAAGAGAAAGGAAGAGGCAGAGAGTGGGGAAGAGCTCTGTGAAGTACTGACTTCCAGACATGGCATAGCCATTGCACTAGTGCACTTACCGTAAATGTGATGACCTGAACAAAAGCAACACAAGAGCAAGCCAGGCAGAGTCCAGCATACATGGGATAAATGATCTTAGGCCCCACCCTTTACTGAAGAGCTACTGGCTGTGCAGTTGCCAGAGGAAGGAGACATGGAGCCTGGTAAGTTTTTGATGCTCCAGTGAACGGCCCAACACCCATGGGCAGCTCAAGCCAGCAACACTAATCAGTGATACTGAAATATCTAAATATTTAAAGCAAACCAAAGACATAAAGTTGGGGGCTTATGATGAGATGGATAAGGGGAAAGCTGGATGGGGAAAATGAGTTGTAAATTTTGATCATATTTCATTGTATGAAAGTCTGAAAGAGCTTCTCTGTGGGTTGTGCTTGCTCCAGAGCTCACATTCCTTGTATCTGTTAGGTGTGGCCCCTAGGAGAATGGCGATCATTTGGTGGGAACAAATACTGCCTGGGAGAAATGATAATCATGTAATTTACATGAAATGTAGCCCTGGCTGGCCTGGAACTCACTATGTAGATCAGACAGACTGGCCCTGAATTCATAGAGATCTTGCATCTGCCTCCTGGGTGCTGGGATTAAAGCCATGCACCACTACACTGAGATGAATATTTTAATGTGAAAAAATTAAGCAGTAATTTTTTTGGAAAAGATCTCAGGAAGTGTAAACACAATGAAATCTAATCTTATATTTGAAAAATTGGTAAATAACAATGAAAAATATTAACCGTATATGAATTACGCCACTGTATTGTGTCAAAATGTTCAATGTGATGTTCTAAAAGATGTCATACCCAAAGTCAATGGAGATCTCAGAGGTTTGGGCAAGAAGAGGCCAAACCTCACAGTGAAGCATCAGTCCACACACTAAACAAAATTGTTCAGAAGTTTAAGGAATGGGTTAGAATTTCATTAAAACGAGTATGTGGCTATCCCATGAAAGTACAGACAAAGGAGCAAAGTTGCCAGTCAAAGAAGACCTAATGCATTAGCAGCCAGGAAAAGGCACAAAATGTAAAGCTGAGATCATATTTTATAAAAATAGTCAATAATTTTAAACTGTAAATACTGTAGCAAATTTCCTACCAGATTTAATGTCCTGTGGGGAGAGAGACATTGTGTCAGTTTTGGCCACTACATTGCTGGGATGTAAACTAAGTTCTAGTGGGGGAATTGTGTCCTTATTCAGCATTCATGAAGTGAACAATAGACACAGCTCACAATTCTGCCGCACTCCCTATGTTCCCAGCAGATAGCAATTCACTCTGGTAAGGTGAGGGACGTTAGCCCTGTTTCACAGGTGTGCAATCCAAGGCCCAGGGTTACTTAGTCAACATGTGACAGAGCTAGAACTTGAGCCCAGGCCGACTGCCGCAAGGGTTTCTGTATCTAATGAATGGCTCTGGAGGGCAGCTGAACAATCGGTGTAAAAAAGGAAACCCGGAAGGAACTGTACACCTAGAAATAAAAATACCAAGTTAGGACACATTCAAGGGTACGCATTTCCCCACTGTCCAAGTGGAGAGAGCAGAGAAAATGAAGAATTTATGTTACATATTCAACTCCCCTTTTCATGAGTTTATTTCTGTTGTTTAGTCAGTTGCTCGTGGACTTCTGATACACTACATTTTTTGATGTATTAAACGATTGGCTGTGAGCATTCTAATGCGCTTATTGCTCTTTTACTTTGTTGATGTGACATTATGGAGTGAGGGAAGCTTAGATGTTGATGAGGCGTTCGTGCTTACCTTTTCTCCTTCATGTTCAATTGCTTTTTATGAGTTGAGGAAGAAAGATGTGCCCATCCCCAGTGTGGATTCACCTGTGCTTGCTTCTCAGCATCTGTACTTTTCACTTTTCCTTGTATGTTTAAACCTACAATTCATTTCCAGTTATTTTCATGTAGGGTTGGAGAAATAAACTGACGCTCGTTTAAAGTTCTTAGTCGGTGGAGAAGTATACTTTACTGTCACAATGAGGTACACCACAAAGTGGCTCAAGAGGCCAAAATATAAAGGACTCACTGCTGCTGGCAAAGCTATTTAACCCTGGAGTTCATATCATTGTTGATGGGAATATAAAACATTCTAATAACCTTGGAAAATAACTTTGAGTTACGTGATAGTTGATTACAGTTGTCAACTTGACTGGGTCTGCAACCAACTAAAAAGCCAGCTGCTAGGCAGCCTGTGAGGAACCTCCTTGACTGGCTCATTTGAAATGGGAAGACCCACCATTAATGTAGGTGGCACCTTCAGTGGCAACCCACACGAAAGGAGATAGAGATGGAAGAAGGAAACAGAATTGTCTTCCTGCTTACTTCCTCTCTCCCGGAAAGTTCACCTACCTTGATGCTGCTATTGCTACATTCCTTCCGTGATTAGATCAGGCTTCCTCCGGCTTCCAACGTGGGCTGCATCCTCCAGACCTTCAGCATCACACTGTGGTTATGAGACATCCAGCCTCGTGGACTGATTCTGGATTCTGAGTCTCCCTAGAATGAAGACAGCCATGTTGAGCTACCCACACAGTGTTGGGTAAGCCAGCCTAATACATTCCCCTTTTAATACATATTTAGCATATCAATTCTACCCCTCTGGAGGACCTTAATACAAGTTGCTGGAATTCACTGAGTGACCACCAAGCATGAATCCTAGCAACTGCACATCCAATTATTTATGTAAAGCAAATGCAAAGATAATCCCACACCAAAACCCATGAGTAAATCTGACATCTTTATCTATATATGCTTTGAACTAAAATTCAACCAAACATCTGTCAACAGATGGAGGGACTCTTTAATAAAAGATGGAACTGCGGTCCACCTGCCATACTATTTAATAATACAATGTAAAGTCCTGTCCCATACACACAAACACACACATTATGTCTTATTTGTATTAAATGAGGCCAATGGAGCAGCCTAAGGCAGGGGCGGGGCGGGGCAGGGGGACGACGATGACTAACTGTGAAGTTCAGTGGGCACTTTGAAGCATGATGGGTGTCAACACCATGACTGGGATGATGGTACCTCTGGATACATTAGTCACACTCACTGACATCTTCTAGTCTAAGAAAACCATACTTCAGTAAGCCAAAATAAAAAGGGAAGATAATTGAATTGGTTTAAGAAATACAACACACACAAAAAAATCAAGCCCTTGGCAAAGGTCCCCTCTTTGTGAGAGTGCAGCGCAGTCTGCATGGTCTCATGGGCTTCGGTGATTCTCGCCAAATCACTCCCAGCCATTGAATCAAAGTGCCTTTTAAGATGAACTCAGGTAATCATGTGTTGTCTGCAAAAAGGAGGTTCTAAACTCCATTCATCTCCTGGGCATGTATTACAGACTGCCAATTGCTCTTGGACAACGGCCTGTGGGAGCTGCGTGATGTATATTCCCTGGAAGCTGGGTGCTGATTCACAGCTGTGGGCCACTGCTATAAACTTAGCACATGCTAATGAAAACTATCACTAGTGTAAGAGGTCATCTATCAAAAATGTATGAGACGGTATTGGACTCTGAGCCATGGAAGCTCAGCCACCCCACTCCTGGGAAGCCAGAACTTGGGACAGATGGTCAGCCTGCACAAGTAGCAAGGTTGGATCCCCAGTACTAATATGGTGTTTTGTGCTTGTGTTCTCAGCACTTAAAATGTGGAGACAGGAACATCAAAAGTTCAAAGTCATCCCTCAGCTACATAGTAGGTTCCAGGCCATCCTAGAATACACAAGACCCTAACTTGAAAAAAAAAAAATAAACAGAAAGAAAGAGGGAAAGAAAGAAGGGAGAATATAATCTAAATGCCTTATGTGCATGTATGAAAATGTCATAATGAAATCCATTATTGTGTATAATTAATAGGTAGTAATAAAACTTAAAAATCAAAGTAAAATTGTGGGGTGGTGAGATGGTTCAGCTGCCGGGAGCACTTGCCAGCAAACCTGATGATCTGAGTTTGATCTGGAACCCACATGATAACAGGAGAGAATTGTTCCCTTGAGTTGGCCTCTGGCCTCTGGAATGCCACGCCATACCATGTCGTGACACAAACAAACAAACAAATAAATATATAAGAAACAAATAAAATAAATAAATGACTCACATAAAATAAAACTTGGTTTTTGATGAACAATCTGGTAGTGTCCATGAAGTCAGGAAGCTATATAACCATCATCACTATCTAAATCTTTGTGGCGCCCTTTCCCTACTCCTGGAAACTATTTGAGTGCTTTTGGTCTTATGGGATTTGCCTATTCTGGATATTTCCTGCAAATGGAGCCATCTCCCCAGCTCTGTTTTACTGTATTTCTGAAAGAGAGATGCACTGAAAAGCTAAGAACAAAATGAGAGAGAGAGAGAGAGAGAGAGAGAGAGAGAGAGAAAGAGGGAAGTGCATTTTAGAGTTGAGCATGCCTGTAATTCCATGGCATGCATGCACTCACATTCACACACATACATGTAATCCATATGTATGAAAATAGTAATAAAAAAGTGAAATTAAATAAGAGCTTTAAAATGAGCTTCAAGTGAATGTGTGAGTTCATAGGTGTTGAAGAGCAGGCTGGGCCCTGGCTGCCTGTGTTCAGATGCGTCACAGGGACCTGAAGGGAAGGCACAGATGGGAACAGATGAGCTCCCATCCACAAGAAGAACCACAAGCAATAGCTCTAGTCCCACTCTTGACTTCCCATCCTTTCCCACATTACTGCTTATAAACAGCTCTGCAACAGCACCGCCAATAGGATTATCTTTTGATTGGGCCAAAGCCCAGCATTTCTGTGCCTTTGCTTCTGGTAATTGGATTTAGTGGCTTCGCCTTTAAAAACACAACCAATTTCTCAAGATTTCAAAGGGTCTGCTTGCCACTGTCTCGTAGCCTTTTTAACACCTACTCTTTCTAGTAGGCATAGAGTCTCAAATGAATGCGAAATACTCAAAGGAAAATCTTATTTTCAATAATTAATGAAGCCTCTCAGAGTCTCAGAGTGAAGAAATGTGGACTGAATTACTTTTTCTTGGATAAAGAGATTGGTGAAATGCCCATTCTGGGAAATTTCTGTGGTGTTCTGCCTCAGTAGTGCATGTGTCTACACTATAGATATTAAGATAGGAAGCCACCCACTGAAGGGAACCATAGGCCATGGCAGCCTGAGAGTAAGGAAGGGTACCAAGCCAGGCTAGGTACCTGCTGTCACAAATTGAGGTTAATTCACAGTCAGGAACCAGAAAGCCATAACTTGGTTGGTGTAGAATTAGCAAACAGCGATAGAGTCTGGGAGTGTAGCTCAATGGTTGGGTGCTTGCTTGAATGTACAAGGCCCTGGGTTCCAGCACCAGGACTGAAAGAAAGAAAGAGGAAAAAAGGAAAAGGAATAGCTAAGTTGGGCTTTTTGTTGTTTTGTTTTTTCTGTTTTTTGCCTTGTGTTTTGTTTTGTTTTTGCACACTTCTGATTCCAGCTCTCATGAGAGTGAGCTAGGAAGGCACCAAGTCTAATTCCAGCCTAAGTCATACTATGAGACTGTGTCTCAAAAAACAAATCAAAATAGTTGTGGCTGGAGAGAGGGCTCAGTAGCTAAGAGTAGCTGGTGCTCTTCCAAACAACCCGAGTTCAGTTCCCAGCACCCATGTTGGATGGCTCTCAACAATCTGTAACTCCAGTTCCAGAGGAGCAGCTGCTCTTTTCTGATCTCCATGGGCACCTGCACACAGCTAGCATACACAGGCAGGCAGGCCCATGCGTGCACACGTGTGTGCTCACACACACACACACACACACACACACACACACAAATAAATAAATATTAAATAGAAAAGACAATGCTATGTCACCCCTCCTTTCTCCTTTCTCCAAGAAAGTACTGATGTTAAGCATGGACTCAATTATGTAGCAAGTCCTTTGATGAGTACAGTATTATGGACTAGAAAGCAAAGTTGCCCAAATACCACATGCTCTGTAGACAGGAGGTAGGGGACATGTACAGTCAACAAGAAATACATGAGCTTTATATAATGATGACAAGTTGCCAGCCAATGGCAAAAGAGCAACTTGAAGGAAGCAGGAAAGGTGGTTTAGAAGAGAGGCAAAACCGTCAAAGGGGATGCTAATTAAAGGCTTGTGTCATGCTTTCGATTTAAAAGACACCCCGGGGCATATTCATACTTGTGAAAATAACAGAAATTCCTTAATACTTAACAATAAATCACATTTAAATTAAAACTACTAACTCCAGACATACTTTTGGTTTTATGTTAAGCAAGAGGCCTAATTATGAAAGTGTATAAACAACACAACTGCTATTGGATCTAAGAAGACCTTAGAATACAGGTTAGGGAATAAAGCATGATACTGGGGACAAGGAGTACTTTTTTTTTTCTAGTTTTCTACTTCAAATATCATGTTTTGTGGGCTCATATTATGTTTGCAATCAACTCCTTTGTCTTGCTAAGGCTTGAGAAGTTTTCCATTCTGTTCTTCTCTTGCAGGATGGAAAACATGGTCTCGATCTGCAGGCTTCCAGGAGACCGGAGACTCATTCATTCATAACAACTCCACCAGGCGCTGCCAGAGGAAACTGAGATGAGCAAAGTAGAACCAGCAGTAATGTCGGCTGACTGGAGTCTGAGCCCTCACTACTACACAGAGACTTGTAATTCATCTTCAATGACTGTCCCAGGATATAAAGTTCCATTAGCGTAATAGACATAATTTGTCTAATTCTTCCTCAACCCATGATCTCTAAAATCAAGATTTAACTATTAGGAATGATTACTGTATTGGTTGCTCTCTTGTTGCTGTCATCAAATTGCCTAACATAGACAACTAAAAAGGAAAAAAAAAAGAGTTATTTGGCTTGTGGTTTCTGAGGGTTCCATCCACGGTTGTTTGTACCAGTGCCCTACATGAAAACATCATGGCTTGCTTACTTCACTGCCGAGTGGGAAGCAGGTGCCCCAGAGGCCTGCCTCTTTCAACTAGGTCCCATGTTCTGAAGTTTCCAGAATCCTCAAAATAATGCCACTAGCTGCGACCAAGTGTTCAACATGTTTAAGCCTGAGAGGGACATTTCATTCCAAAACTGCACCCATCACTCTAGTTCAAAGTGCAGTGTGTAAGTGAAAGTTACAGGAAGTTCCCAGTCTTTTATGTTTCTGTGTAATGAAGGCAGCCTCAGACTTTTACCAGTTTGAAAAGCTCCTCTTTCTGCTATAGGAACTTTGACAAAACATCCTTGCTGACAGCTGGGCTTCTAAAGAAGCTCAGAGATAGAAATCTTAATACGGGGTAGGTAGAGAGAGTGGGGAAAAAGGAAGGAGGGGTCCCTAACCACAGCCTTGGTGGAGATCCCCCTGGTGCCCTCAAAATTAACTCTCCACTTTGCATGTGTAGCCTCAGTATGGAGAACAGGTGCTTGTAAGCCGCCCTCTCAAATGAACCTGAGCAGCCGACATCCTGCAGGTGTACCCCTGATAAGATCAAGGAGACCTCAACCCTGCA